GGCATGGTGGCACATGCCTGTGGTTCCAGCTACTTGGAAGGCTGAGGTGGAAGGATTGCCTGAGCCCAGCAGGTCAAGGCTGCAGTGACCATAAGTGTGCCACTGAACTCCAGCCTCGGCGACAGTGAGATTCCAACTCAAAGAAAAAAAAATTGCCCATTTCTGAGCTGGGTGCAGGGGCTCAGGCCTCTAATCCCAGCACTTTGGGAGGCCAAGGCGAGAGGATTGCCTGAGCCTCTGGGTTTGAAACCAGCCTGGGCAACATAGTGAGACCTCATCTCTACAATAAATCAAAATAGTAGCTGCGCATGGTGGTGCAAGCCTGTGGGTACAGCTGCTTGGAAGGCTGAGGTAGAAGGATCGCCTGAGCCCAGCAGGTCGAAGCTGTGGTGGCTGTGAGCAGAAAGCTAAGTGAGATGGGCCCCAAAGCAGACGTTTCTGGGAGTGAGTGTCCAGGGAGCTGCCGCAGTACTTGGGTGGGCCTCAGCTGTCCCCGGACCACCTGCAGGTGTTTACCAATGGACAGAGTGGGAAGGAGTGGAGCTCCCTTTGTGATCATGAGGTATGAGGCTGAACCCTGTTTCCTGCCAGGACTGGGCGCCAAGACCACCTTCCTGGGTGCTCCAGCCTTTTTGGTGTTCCTGTGTGAGTGTAAACCAGGGCAGGTACAGCCACATGTGTGTGCTTTAGTGTAGATTTGCATGTCTCCATATGTGCATGTATGAGTGCAGACAGATGTGTGTGTTCATGTGCACATATGTGCATATGTGAGTGTAAACGGGTGTGTGTCCATATGTGCACTTGTGAGTGTAGATATGTATGTGTCCATATGTAAACATGTAAGTGTAGATGCCTGCGTGTGTCCGTATGAGCATGTATGAGTGTAGGCAGGTGTATGTGTCCGTATGTGCACGTGAGTGTAGACAGGTACACTTGGGTATCTGTGTGTGTGCAAGTGTAGACAGGTGCATGTGCATGTACTCATGTATACTCACGAGTGTAGATCTGTGGATGTGTGTGACCGTTTGTCCATGTGTGAGTGTAGACAAGTGTTTGTCCATATCTGCATGCGTGAGTGTAGACAGGTACGTGTGCGTGTGCTGGACCCTGCTGGGTGGGTGTGGGTGCGTGCTGGCTCCAGGCCTTCTCAGGCATGCGGGGTTCCCTTGTCCTCACAGAGCCCGTGGGAGAGAGGAGCCCCTTAACTTAGTGAGAAATAGGCCAGGGAGGCCAGATGACTTGGCCAAGGTCACAGAGCTCATATGTGCTTGAGTCAAGATCTGGAGAGCAAGTGATCGAAACCCCACGGGTCAGCACGGTCATGCCAGATGGTGCTGGAGGCTCTGCCATGGGGCTGGCGGGGTGGGTCAGCTCCGTGGGGATGACAGCTCTGAGTGGGAGAGACAGAGCTGGAAACCCAGTGTCTTCAAAGAAGGCAAAAATGCGGCATGTGGTCTGGATCCTGTAAATTAAGGACCCCTGTTCCATGTTCCAAGATAGACATGTTCAGTGGAGTGCTGGCAGGGTCCTCTCAGCAGTGGTTCTGTGTCTTCTTTGCAGACCACTCACTGCTTGTTGGGGCCCAGAGGCTGCGTGGCCCTGGAACACGGCCCTCTGCAGAGCCCGGTGTGGGTTGGAGCCGCTCTTCTGCCCCCTCTGCCCTCCCCCTCCCGGCTCTGGCCATACCTTGCAGCCCATCCACAGCTGGGACTGGGGCCATGGTGTCCAGGTGGGCCCCCCTTTGTGACCTGGCCCCCCGCTGCCTCTGGCTCCTGGGGGTTGTACTCCTGCTGGAGGTGTCTGCACGCCCCGCCAACCACTCGTCTGCCCGGGAGAGAGCAGCCAGCAGGGAAGAGAGAGAGATCCTGCCCCCAGACCACCTGCACGGGGTGAAGCTGGAGCAGGACGGGCACCTCAACAAGGACTTCCACCAGGAGGTCTTCCTGGGCAAGGACATGGACGGCTTCGATGAGGATGCAGAGCCACGGCGGAGCCGGCGGAAGCTCATGGTTATCTTCTCCAAGTAGGTGCCCGCCTGCCTGGGCCACGTGCTCGCGTGCCTGGCCGTGGCATCGCCTTGTGTGGGGACATTGCTGGGAGCGAGCTCTCCATGGTGACACCCGGGAGCCTGTGATGCAGGGATGGGAACGTGCTGGCAGCTGCGGGTCAGCAGGGCTCGCAGGGCTGGAGGCGGTCCTGCCAGCCTGTCCCAGACCCTACAACTGGGGTCTTTAGGACAGCCGGATGAGGTGCCTGCCCCCGTCCCCGTACCTCTGCGCCAGCGACAGGCGGGGAGCAGTCACAGCAGGAAGCACCCCTGGTAGGCCTGGCCACACACTGAGGACAGCGCCTTGAGGTGGGGACGGGAGACGCCGAGTGCAGGCGAGACAGACCATGGGGCGCGGAGAGAGCCGGCATGGGTGTCCAGGTCTCCCCTGTCATCCCTGTGCTACCCGGTCAGGCGCCTGTGCGTGGAGCTGGCGCATCCCCAGGAGTGCTTGCTGACCTCACCTTCCCCCCAGGAGAAGCAGAGCAGCCATCTTGTGACCTCCCCCCAAGTCTCTGGTCCCTTGGGACAGGCCTCCTCCCTTTGCCCCCTTTCTCCAAAACCTGGCTTAAGGGTCCGAGGTGGACTGTGTTCAGCCCTGGGGGAAAGGTCCTGCGATGTCACCCTGTGTCTTGGGCGGAGTGATGGTCCTGAGCCCATGTGCTCGGTGTCCGAGTCATCCCCGGAGGATGCCTGCTGTGGGGTAGGGGCAGGAGCACGTAGTGCCACACGTTCCCCAGGCTGGCTCCCCCGACAGCATGGGGAAGGGGCGCTGGGAAGAGTGCCAGGGTGCATCGAGAGGACCTGAATACACCAGGCCTGCTAGGACCTCCAGGCCCCAGGCGCACAGTGGCAGGCAGCCTTGGCCCAAGGCCTGCTGGAGGGGCTGGGCTTTCCTGATTCTGTCAAGGGCCACAGAGTGCCGAGGGAGGTGGGTACCTGAGAGCCTGTGTGCAGAGTCAGACTCTGGAACCAGCAGGCGGGGCAGGGGATAGGGTGGGAGTCTCAGGAGTGGCCTGGGCACGCCAGAGCCCTGGGGGAGGGCAGAGTGCGCCACAGGACTGAACACCCCCGAGAGATGCAGGTGCCAGCATGTGGACCTGGGCTCCAGGCACGTTGTCCCTTTGTATGTGTCCCCAGACAGGTGGGTTGGGGTTTTTCGTAGGGTTGTGTTCATCCGATGATGATTTGATTGCCTAGCAGAGGCTGGTTCCCTGGTCTGTCTGGACGGCCACCCTGAGCCCACAGAGGCCTTCCTGGCACTGTGGGGTACAGGTCACTGTGTCTGTCCTGCCAGCATTGCGGGTGGACCGTACCTCTTGGGCAGGCCAGGGCCCAGATCCAGGCTGCCTCTGGGCTGAAACCTGGCTCGTGTGTCCTCTGACAGGACAGGGGTTCCTTTTCTTTTCTTTTTTTTTTTGAGTTGGAGTCTCACCCTGTCACCCAGGCTGGAGTGCAGTGTGGTGGCCACTCACAGCCACCCCAGCGTCGACCTGTTGGGCTCCGGTGATCCTTCCGCCTCAGCCTTCCAAGTAGCTGGAACTACAGGCACATGCTACCATGCCTGGTTAATTTTTAAAAATTTACTGTAGAGACAAGTTGTCTGCGCTGTTCTTGAACCCGCAGGCTCAGGCAATCCAGTCGCCTTGTCCTCCCAGAGTGCTGGGATTACAGGCTGAGCCATTGAGCCCAGCCAGGGGTTCCTTTTGGTGCCTGCGAAGAAACTGGAGCAGTGCTCTTGGAGAGATGGGCACAGGGACCTGGGAAGTAGCCGTGGCTTCCCCAATAGCAACACCACGCCCACGGAACATGGGTCAGAACCAACTCCATTCTGTTTCACATGGTTTTCCTTCGTGTCCTCTTTCTGCCCAGGTCCCAACCAGGCCCCGCTTTGGCCACCCTGTCCCTGCAGGCTGGGCTGGGATAGCGTCTCCAATGCACCTGTTTTCCTGGACGTGGCAACTCTGTGGAGGCTGTCCCTGTTGCTAGTATGGTCCTCAGTGGGGCCCATGTGATGTGCTCTCTCCTTTGTGGACTGGGGTGTGTGTTTCCTGAAAGAACACCCACCCTAGTGAGGACCCCTGACGTCAGCATGGGACCCCTGGGATGTTGCCCTGGGTCTCCTGGCACAGGTGGTGACAGCCAGGTATCTCCTCTCCCTCCCCACCTGTCCTCAGAAGGAAGTCCCAGGGTCCAGCCCCCTGGTGCAGGGGTGTCTGCAGATGCTGCCAGGAGTCTCCTGTGGGAGGACTTTGTCTCCGTGGACATGTGGTGTGTGCTTGGGTGTATTCCTGGGCTGCTCATTCTGCTGCTGGCATGGACTGGCCTTGGCCACTAGAGCACCTTCATGTGTCCTCTGAGCAGGTCCTTCCCCACACTGGCCAGTGCTCCAGGCCTATCTTATGAGTCACCTGTCCCTCCCTGCATCAGCCGCTTCTCAAGGACCCCTGGATCCTATGACTGGAGAAAGAGTTTAGAGTCCAGGATCTGGGTGCTGGGTGTTACTGTCCATAGTCCTCTCAGGGAACATAGGCTGATAATGTGCATGTATACTAACCCTGTGCACACTAATCCTGCACACGAGTGTTTGCTAACCTCGTATACACATGTGCGTGTGCAGACTATACACATGCTAACTCTGTACATGTGTGTGCTCACCTGTACATGCATGTGTGTGTGAGCTAAGTGTAAGTGAACATGACATCCTCACTCTGTTCCCCCCCCCCGTCATTTGCACAGATGTCTCTGTGTCTGTAGCATCCCTCAGCTGTGCCCTGTGGATCTCTGTGGGGGACAATGTGGAGCCTTTGGTGGCTCTGTCGTTCCTGAGAACTTGCCAGCGCTGGCTTATAGGTGCCCACAGCCACAGGGCCACCTGGCGGCGGCCTCCCCGTGGCCGGCATGATCTTGGGGGCCTGTGGTGCTAAGGTGCCTTTGGGCCCCTTTGGGGTGGTGGGGCTGTGCCTGCCCGGCTGGTGCTGTGGGAGAGGTGAGGGGGTTTGGGCAGGCAGCCTGCCTCTTTCCCAGGGAGACCTTTGTCAGCAGTGCTCGGGGTATCATGCTGCTAGGGCTGCTCAGTGCTGCTACAGAGAGCACTAGCCTGGGTGGTCCAGCGGTGGGCCACGTGGCTCCCAGGTTGGAAGCCGCAGGCCCGTGGCCCAGAGGCTGTGTCTGGCGAGGGCCTTCCTGCTGTGTCTCAGTGCCAAGGGGCCACTGGCCAGAGCCTGGGGGAGGGGCTGGGCGTGTACTTGCAGGAGGGACCCCTCCTGCAGCAGTGCCGTTAGCCTGTCGGCAAGCCAAAGCCGACCTGACTGCCTCTCGGAGGCCCTGCTCTTGACACCGTTGCCTTTGGGTTTCAGTGTCCAACACATGGGCCCTGGGGACATGATAACCGCGGCAGAGGCAGGGCCTTTGGGCTTGCAAGGACACAGTGCTGAGGCCCACTCTGTCCAGCAGAGTGACGGTCCCCTCCCTGCTCACACATGTGACCTGCCTGGGGAACCCGCGGGGCCTCCTGGTCTGAGCCAGCTCCGTGTCCCTGATCCCTGTGCCCATGTCCCCAAGCCTCTGCGTTTGTCTCCCGAGACTCTGAGTCTCTCTGCCAAGTCCCTGGGTCGGCTCTATCCTTGGACACGTTAAGTCCCCAAAGAGTCTTTTTCGAAATCCTGTGTCTTTACATCCACAGGAAGGTTTGTGTGGTCAGTCCTGGAGTCGCTGAGATGAATCACAAGGATGGGACTTGGGATGCTGCTGGTGGGGCGAGGGCTTGGGACATTCTGCCTGAGGTGCTGCGTGGGAGGGAGGGAGGGAAGGTCCCCGTCTTCCCAGTGGCGAGACTGTGCCACCACCTTCCCCGGTGTACCCGACCATGCTGGTGTTCTCTGACACATCCTTGCCGTGAGAGCACACGGCCCCTAGAGTCCCTGGGCCGCCCTCTGCTGGCTGGCTGGGTCCTGAGCCCTCATCTGACACCTGCCCCTCTGCCTGCAGGGTGGATGTGAACACTGACCGGAAGATCAGTGCCAAGGAGATGCAGCGCTGGATCATGGAGAAGACGGCAGAGCACTTCCAGGAGGCTGTCCAGGAGAACAGGGTGCACTTCCGAGCTGTGGACCCCGACGGCGATGGTAGGGGCGGAAGTGGGGAGGAGATGGGGCGGGTGGATGGGCTGAACTGGGCTGAGGCACGGCGGGTGCTCTAGCCACCCTTTCTGCAACTGTGAGCATGAGGACCTCTGCGCTGATGCCACGTCTGTGATGACAGAGGGAGTGCAGAGAAAATACTGGGTGTGACCCTGGTAGCGCCCAGGAAGCTGGGTGCCCCTCCCTTGGCGTGGCCCTGTCTGTGTGCTGCTAGCTCACACTTCAGTAGCCCGAGGGAGAGATGTTCCCGCTGGCTTTGTGGGTGAGGACACTGGGTGGGCCCAGCTAGGACATGGCATTGGGTGTGGTGGCACTCATGTCCCGGGAGCTTCGGATACGCACACCTGCCCACCTCACCCCGTGTGCTGTCTGCTGTCAGGCCACGTGTCGTGGGACGAGTACAAAGCCAAGTTCCTGGCCAGCAAAGGCCACAGTGAGAAGGAGGTTGCCGAGGCCATCAGGAACCACCAGGAGCTCAAGGTCGACGAGGAGAGTGAGTGCTCTGGGTGGGAAGGCAGGGGGGCGCTTCCAGGCTGGGGGTCTGCCCGTGACCTGAGAGTTCACAGTGCTGAAACCGATCTTTCTGGGTTGCGTGGGGAGGACTGCGTGCACGTGTGTGTGTGTGTGTGTGTGTGTGTGTGTGTGTGTGTGTGTGTGTGTGTTTTGAGTGTGCATGCGTGTGCATACGTGTTCGCCCTGACGGTGTGACCCACAGGGGCGGGTGTTGGCTGCCGGGGGAGGCGGGTGAGGCTGCTGCTGCTGCCGGGTGCCAGGATCAGTGGGAAGCAGGCTCGTTCGCCCGGGCCCCTCCCGTCCTGCTGGGAGTGGCCCCTCGGGAGCAGGTGGTGTGCCATTCAGTTGTTAGAGCCTCAGGAGAAGCCCCAGCTGTCGCCCCGGGTAGGGTCTTGCCTACGCTCTGAGGCCCAGAGGACCCAGCCACTCGAGGCACAGGTTGCCAGGTAGAAGGCACAGCCCACGTGGGGCCCCAAGCCACCGAGGAGAGGGTGGGGCCGGGCCCGCCTCTGAGGAGGGCCTGGCTCTGGGACCAGGCGTCTGGTGGAGATGTGCTTGGCGGCCAGGTGGTGGACTGGGCAGTGGGTGGGCTCCTGGGCCCCTTCAGGGTGACCCTCTTCCCTGGGGTTGGGGTGCAGCCTGCAAGCGTCCTCAGCTCTGGGCAGGGTGGAGCTGGCGTCTGTGGGAAGGGAGTGAACGGGTAGGACCTGTTGGCCAGGGCTAAGGGCGGGATCAGGTCCTGGGTCAGGAGAGCGGTCAGTAGGCGGAAGTCTCCGGAGGCGAAGTCAGATGGGCCTGGCCAGGCCACCCTCTGCTCTGGGCTCTGCGGACCCTCCAGCGGCTGCTGTTGGCACGTTTGACTCGTTTGGGCTCTGTGAAGACACCAGGAGGTGCCTGCGTCTTTTGTTCCTCTGCTGATGAGGGGTGCGTTCCACTGCCTGGGTAGCATCCGGCTGCCCCCGTGGGGCAGGGCAGGTCGTGCAGGGCCCACGAGGCGGATTGTGGGGCGCAGGGCATCCCCCCACAGGGCACATCAGGCAGGCCATCGCTCACGGGCGGGCCGTACATGTCTGACACCTTTAGTTTTTGCTGGTCAGTTGGTCGGTGATGCGTGTTTACCTCCCAGAGTCTCAAGGTGACATCGTGACCTCATCCTTGAGACTCTTTCCCCCCTTTGGCTCTGGCCCCCGGCGCCAGCTTACCCAAGACTTTGGTTCTGTCCTGTCCGAAACCCACACAATGGACTGTTTTTCCTTCCCAGAACAGCTGTTTTCATTCCCTTGCTGCTTCCGTTTTGTGTTTCTGTTCCCTGAAGGTTGAAGGTGTCCTTTAGTGGTAAGGGATCCCCAGGGCCCTGTCCTGTGGGCGGTTTGCACAGGCCACACTTGGAGCTATCCCTTGTGGCCCCGAAGGAGAGGTAGGTGTCCCTGTGCCCCGTGCCTGACTCCTATGAGGTCTGGTCTGTCCCTGGTGCCGTCTACTTGGGTGTGGCTGTTCTGTGCAGAACACGTCCTTCCTGGACCTCAAACTCCAGGTGTCTCTGTGAAGCCCTACCCACTGCCTGGGCCACACAGAGGTGTGTTTAGAATGCACTCTGTGTTCTGGAGTCTTTGTGTGCCCCGAAGCAGCAACCCTGCTGTGCTGTGTCTGTGCCACCTCCTTGACCTTAGTACACAGCGGTGCTGCCTCTGGCTTTTGGTCTGGGGACCCAGGAGGAGCAACCCCTGGACACTAGAGGGAGGGACTGGGAATCCCAGCAGGCACCTCTCCACGACCTCTGTCCCTTTCTTGTGTGGCTCCTGTGAGAGCCACGCCCAGTGAACAACGTGAGTCTGAGGTCTCCGTCTGTTCACCACAGGTCCAGTTCTGGAGGCCGAGGTGGAGGTTGGGAAGTGGACTCACCGGGACCCGAGGGGCCACTGGCCCCTCAACTTCTGCTGCTGCAACCTCTCCCTTGGCTGCTGTGGGGCTGCCTTCTCCCTGGGTCTGTGTGTACCCTTCCTATGGGACACTAGCGGTTGGATGTAGACCATGGCCTGACCCAGGACACTCTCATCTCTGTGTCCTCCCTCATGGCAGAGACCCTGGGTCGAGGCTGGGTCGGGACACAGAGCTCCTTTGGTTGGCCTAAGGTGGGCACCTGGGCTGGATGGTGTCCTGACTAGAGGGCCTCAGGCAGCCTGTCCCAGGACGCTCGTGCCCATCTGTCCCCAGAGCGACAGTGGAGGAGACTGGCTGAGGGCGTTGGCCCCAGACCCCTGCTCCGTCGCTCTCATCCTCCCCTGACTGAGCTTGTCAGGATTGCTCAGAAAGCAGGTTGCTCAGAAAGCAGCAGAACTTGATGGCATCTGGGCCTTTTCTGTGGTGACCAAGTGACTGCTGGGTTTGCACTGATGGGTAGAGTCGGGCCAGTGGAGGGTTCAGGGCCGGACTAGCGCCTAGTCAGCAGCTACAGCAGGTCCTTAAATGGGCTAGGATGTCACATCTGCCCCAAGATTGAGACAGGCCTGGGTGGGATGTCGGGGACGTCCTGGAGGGCTGGGCCATGTACCCAAAGGCCTGGCTGGGCCGGAGCGGGAGTCCGTGCCAGCTCTGCTCAGTCACCACCTCAGTCATTTCTGGAACCTGGGTTTTCCTCCCATGTGAAGTTACACATGAAGGGAACGGAAAAGGATGAGCTGACACCTTTACTGCTTATTCACTGCTGGTTCATACCTGAGTCAGTCTCATGGCAGTTTCCATTCTCCCAGGGAGCACATGACTGGGTGTGGCCTGGGGTGGGAGAGGTCTGGGCCACGTCAGAGGTGATCCAGGGCCTGTCCAGGGGGATCGGTCATGATGGGGGGGGTGTCTGTGGTATATCTGGGGCAGGTTCTGGGCTATGCCTGGGAGTTCTGGGCTGTGTCTGGGGATGTGTGTGCTGTGTCTGGGGGAGGGTCTGGGCTGAGTCTCGGGGCGGCTCTGGGCTGTGTCTTAGGGAAGTTCTGGGTTATGTCTGGGGACCTGGGCTGTGTCCTGGGGGGATCCAGACTCTTGTCTGGTGGGGGTCGGCTGTGACTGGGGGATCCAGGCTGTGTCTGGGGTGGTCTGGGTCATGATGGGGTTCTGAAGGGGATTCTGGAGGGGGCCCCAGGCTGTGTCTGGGGGGTCTGGGATGTGTTCAGGGAGTCTGGGTTATGAATGGGGGGGTCTGAAGGAGGAGTCTGTGCTGTGTCTGGAGGGAGGTCCGGGCCTTGGGGGGGGACTCTGGGACACATCTGGCGGGGGTCCAGGCCCTATCTGGGATGGTCTGAGCCATCTAGGGGAGAGCCCAGGCTGTGTCTGGGGTAATCTGGCCGTGACTGGGAGGGTTCTGTGTGTCGCGAGTGGGCCCCAGACTGTGCGTGGCCCTGTGCTGCCCTCCAGTGCCTCTCAGAACTTTCTGGGTTGTGCACAGGGGTGCCCCTGCTGCGGTGCTCATGGACGCTGCCCTTCTCAGCACAGGAAGTCCTTGAGAACCTCAAAGACCGGTGGTACCAGGCAGACAACCCCCCCGCAGACCTGCTGCTGACTGAGGGCGAGTTCCTGTCGTTCCTGCACCCCGAACACAGCCGGGGCATGCTCAAGTTCATGGTGAAAGAGATCGTCCGTGACCTGGGTGAGACTGGTGGGGCGCTGCACCTTCCTGGGAGGGTCGGGCGTCGCCAGAGGTGGGGGTGGGCTGGGCTGGGCTTCGCAGCAGGTCCCGGAGCGCTGCCTCTGCGGCTGGGCTCGTGTCTCACGCGTGGGTACCTGGCGCAGATGCTCGCGGGGTCCTTTGTGAGGTCCTGTATGAGGCCCCATGCGAGGTCCTGTGCAGGGTCCCCTGTGAGCATCCGATGCCCCGTTCCACAGACCAAGACGGCGACAAGCAGCTGTCACTGCCTGAGTTCATCTCTCTGCCCGTGGGCACTGTCGAGAACCAGCAGGGCCAGGACATCGATGACAACTGGGTGAAAGACAGAAAGAAGGAGTTTGAGGAGCTGATCGACTCCAACCACGATGGGATCGTGACCATGGAGGAGCTGGAGGTGAGCCTGGGGAGGACCCTGAGATGGGGAGGGGCCCTGGGGGTGACTCCAAGATAGGGGGACCCTGAGAACAAGGGGAGGGGGTCTTGGGGGGCTGTGATCTCAAGATGGTGGCCCGAGAATGAGGGGAGAGGACCCTGGGGGTGTGGGGCCAATCTGAGAACAAGGGCACCTTGGGGGGGTGTGACCCAAGATGGCTAGAGGGATCCTGAGAATAAGGGGAGAGGACCCTGGGGGAAGGTGTGACCCTGAGATGGCCGAGAGGATCCCAAGAACGAAGGGAGGGGGCTCTCAGGGTGGGGGTGACCCTGAGATGGGCGGGGGAAGATCCTGAGGATGAGGAAAAGGGGCCTTGGAGGGAGATGTGACCCCCAGGGGGGCCCTGAGGATGGCCAGGGTGGTGGAGGAAGGGTGTGGCCCTGAGGATGACGTGGGGTGGCGGGGAGGTGTGACCCCAAGACGGGCGAGGTGGTCCCAAGAATGAGGGGAAGGGCTCTGGAGGGAGGTGTGACCCAGAGATGGGTGGGGGGTGACCCCAAGAACAAGGGGAGCTGTGACCCTGAGGTGGGTGGGGTGAAGGGTGTGGACCCAAGGATGACCTGGAGTGGTGGGGAGGTGTGACCCTGAGATGGGCAGGGGTGTGACCCTGAGGATGGCTGGGGTAGCAGGGGCGGGTGTGAGTCTGAGGACGGCCTAGGTGGTGAGGGAGAGTGGTGAGGGGTGACCCAGAGATAGGTGGTGGTGGGAAGGGTGTGACCCCAGAGGGCGACCTGGGTGGTTGGGGGAGGGTGTGACTGGGGGAGCGTTGTGACCCTGAGGATGAGGGGAGGGGGACCCTGGAGGGAGGTGTGACCCCGAGATGGGCAGTGGCGGAGAAGGGGATCCTGAGAGTGCCTGGGCTTGTGAGGGAAAGGTGTGACCCCGAGATGGGTAAGGGGAGAGTGTGATCCTGAGGGTAGCCCGGGGTTGTTGGGGGAGGGTGTGATCTAGGGGGCTGTTGTGACCCTGAGATGCGGGGGGAGGAAGCTGTGACCCTGAGGGTAGCCTGGGCTTGTGAGGGGAGGGGGTGGCCCAAGATGGGTGGGGGAGGGGTGTGACCCAAGCACAGGCCCTGAGAGGGGCGTCCCTTCGTTTGGGCCTGAAACAGGAAACCGGGCAGGTGGCTGGTTGCGAGCCCTGAGCCTGTCACTTGACACCATGGCCTGTGGTTGGCCTGGCATTGTGGGTGTTTATGCCCAGATTGGAGGCCAGAAGGCCCTGTGAGGGAGATGCCTGTCCCTGTCTGCGCCTTGGCCGACTCCTGGCCTGGCAGCGCCCTCTGTGGGAGGTGTTCGGCGATTCTTTTGGGGAAGCACAGGCAAGCGTGTGTTGGCTGGGCTGGTTCTGACGTGACCTCGGTCAGAGTCCAGGTGGGCAGGGCCGCTGGGAACCACTCCCTTCTCGGAAGCATCTTCCTGGTGTTGCAGGTGCCCTGGGCTTGTTTTGTTCCCACTGCTGAGTGAGTCATTCCGTCTCACACCAGAACCCTCTGAGTCCTGCTGACAGCCAGGGGTAGGACGGGCCGGGGTTTTAGGGACCCATCAAACGGGTCCTGGCGCCCACCTGCCCTGCCCACCGGGGGCGATGCAGCCCAGCTTTGCGTGACCCTTGCGGGCCTCGGGCAGGCCTTCGGTGTTCAGCCTCTCCCCATCCTGGCTCCTTCCCACCCTTGGCATCTCCCTTTCGGAACATTCCAGAACGTGCCCATGTCCCCAGCTTGCAGCCAGAGGGGTGTCTTAGACAAGGGGCTGCTGCCATGGGTGGCTGCCGTGTCAGAGCCGTCACCCCTTCTCTTGGTGGCGTAGCGCCTTGGTGGGCTGGGCGGAGTCCCAGGCACTTGCGTGTCACAGCCATGACCGGAGTGTAGGGAGGGCTGGGTTGGGCCGCTCAGGCTCGTGTGCTCGGTGGGAGCCCGCAGCCCGGCGTCGTCGGCCCTGACCGCGCGGCGTGCCCTGCAGAACTACATGGACCCCATGAATGAGTACAGTGCGCTCAACGAGGCCAAGCAGATGATCGCCATCGCCGACGAGAACCAGAACCAGCACCTGGAGCCTGAGGAAATCCTCAAGTACAGCGAGTTCTTCACGGGCAGCAAGCTGGTGGACTATGCCCGCAGTGTGCACGAGGAGTTCTGAGGCGGCGGCCACTGACGGCGCCCTCTTGGCACCCGGGCCCGGCCCGGCTGGGCTGTGTCGCGGGCCGGGGCCTCTGTCCTCCGGGACCACAAAGTCCCTGCCTGGACTTCTGAGAACCGGACTTGCGTGCATGGCCCCGCCGGTGCTGTGGGAACGGACGCCACTCCTGCTGCTTCTCGCAAACAGAAAGACTGAGGCAGCTTGCCTGTGTTTCGCTGGAAGTGAGTGGCAGGAAGCCGGGGGCGCCTGCCCTCACGGCGGGGCTGGCCCGCAGCTGCTGCCTGAGGAAGCACCAGTGTTTGTTGTGACAAGAATCACATTAATCTGTGTTAAAATATAGTTGCCTTTTTCTCTCAGCTTCGTTCTTTGGGTTAGAAAATACAAATCAGTCTGGAATGCTGGTGGCCTGGCGGTTTCCGAAGTGTTGGAGGTGGCCGTGTGGGTTGGAGGCCTGGCGGAGGAGGCCCGAGGCTGGCGGCCCCAGTGAGGTCGGGGCAGGAGAGACGTGTGCTAGGATGCTGCGTGTGTTCCTCCCTGTGGCACGTGGGGGCCCAGGCCCTGAATGCTGGCTCTCCAGCAGGAACTTGGGGGTTGCGGGGCACCCCCTCCTGAGCCTGTCCTGCTGTGCTCACATCGCCCGGCCCTGCCACAGGCAGGCGGGCACCGGGCTGGTTCCCAAATGAGAAGGGTTCTCAGGCCAGCGCCGGTGCGAGTGGCGGGAGGCAGGTCCTCGGTTCGCCTTGGGACCTGCCCGGAGCCCCCGCACATCCCCCACCACCTGGACTCAGCCCTCCCCCTCGGAGGTCCCGAGCCAGCAAGGGTGGTGGCAGCCATGGCACCAGCGTCTCGCCCTGAGGGTGCTGCCCCCTCCCAGGTGGAGCTGCAGGCTGAGCCGGGCTGCTCCAGGTGCCCAGGGCCGTGTGGGCCGAGTGGGGTCCAGCCCTAGGTGTCCAGCTCAAGACGCTGTCTCCAGCCTGGCCATGGCCTGTCCTGCAGCCCTCGGAGCCCCAGACCCTGGGTCAGTGTCCCGCCGGCTGTGGCCACCTGACTTCTGCGGGTACAGTGCCTCTGCCGCTCGCCTCAGGCCCAGGACAAGAGCCAGAGGGCTGTGGGTCACAGTCGCCTGTGGGTAGATGTGGCCCGTGGCCAGGCATGCAGGGCTGTGGGCTACTGAGAAGCCTCTCCCCAGGAGGGACGGGTCGCCCCTGCGAGAGCCCGGAGAGGAAGGTGCCCAGAATGGAGTCCCGCCACTAAGACAGCGGGTTTACCTGAACTTCAGAAGCTATGTGCACCTGTCTGACTTCTCTCATGTCGGCAGGAGGCAGGGTTTGAACATAGCACTGACCCTTCCAGAAGATGTTCAAAGTTTCCTCATTTGCCCACGCACTGCTGAGGATGCTCGAGTTCCCTGTCCCCAGGACCCCCCTGAGCTTCGGAGGAGTGGGGAGGGTGCCCCTCGAGGCCCAGCCACCCCTCCCCCACGCCTGCCCCAGCCTGCCTTGTGCCTCTGGTGGAATTTCCCGCAGGTGGGTCCAGGGAGCAGTGCTACCTGTGCTCTCGGAAGGAAGGGGATTTCCAACCCCTTCCCTGCCGTCCCCCCTGCAGGGTGGCCCCTCTCCACTGGCAACTTTTTAAACCGTCTTTTGGATAGTCGTGCAAGGGTCACAGTGGGCCTCCTGCCTGCACCTGTTCCTGGCAAGCCCCTTCCTCAGGGGACCCTGGAACCGGGGAGGGGTTTGCACATAGGGAGAGAAACGTGCTTGTGTGCATCAGGTGAGATCAGGACCGCCCTCCTGGCCCCTCGTCAGAGACCCTGCCCCAACAGCACACTGGGGTCAGGGCCTCCATGCAGGACTTGGGCTCGACTCAGCCCGTGGACACCTGCCCTGCTCAAGGGCACTTGGTTGCTCGAGAAACATCACGTGCGTGGACCCTGGTCATGAAGTGTTCATCACGACATGGCCGTTGTCTGGAGCTAGTCTAGGACCCTTGGCGGAGACCATGCCCCAAGACCAGGTAGTGCCCCCTCCAGAAGGTGCAGACCAAGGGGCCTCTCTCCCGACTCAGTGCGCCGCCTCAGTTTACCCACGTGCTCTGTGCACCTCTTTGCTGAGGGGAGCTGCAGGCCCATTCTCACTTGGGTCTTGGTGCCTGGCTGAGGCTGGGGCAGGGCCGAGGAGGAGCCCAGTGCCAGAGGGGCCAGCCGAGTGACCTTTCTGCAACAGCCAGGGTCAGGGTCGCCATCCTGCCAACTTCCTCCTCCCCGCCCCTCCCCGTCCCTCCCCTCTCCTCCCCTTCCCTTACCTCCCACCCCCGCAGCCCTTATAGTCACATCCTGCAAGGAAAAACCCAGATGGGGGTGGCAGCGGAGACGAGGATGTGCGTGGGGGCTCGGCGGCCGGTGCGCCAGGTGCCCTGCTCGGGCCTGCTGCTGCTGCTGGGACTGGCGCTGGGCGCCGCGGCCCGGCTCAACTGTGTCGGGGACACCTACCCCAAGGGCAGCAGGTGCTGTCGGGAGTGCCCACCAGGTGAGGGCCCGGTCTGGGCGAGGGCACCCGGATGCTGGCAGGGACGGGCGGCTTGGAGGCTGGT